CATTACTTTTCTTCACAGTATTTGCCTTAAAGTTTACCTGGGAATGAACTGGGGGTGCAGCAGCTATGTAAGGAAATGCACTGGCATTTTCACCATCTATGGCCTTTTTTCTTTTCTTTTTTTTAAGTTACAGAAGTGAAGGCAAGTAGATCCTTCAGGGCAATTGAAAGTAACACAGTTGGTGAGGCAAAATCTGTTAATTCATTCTAGTTTTATGTAACTTCTGATTTAGGTCAAAATGACAGCACTGCAAGATGTATGTGAGGTGAAAGCCAGTGCAGCAACTCTCAAGTATATAAATGAAGCAGCATGCCTCTTTGAGCAAGAACAATCCTCAAGAGCATATCACACCCAAGCTCAGCACACTCCACCGGTTCTCTGCTTGCTTGAGGATATACTTCAGAGTCTTGATCTTAATCTCTGAAGCCAATAATAGGCCAGCTTCATTTCTATTTGAGTCTGTCTTGCATCAGCAAAAGTAGATAAGGTCGGCTGCCAAGACCTTTCCCCCAACATACATATTTCAGTTTACAATATTTGCAGCTTTTTTAGTTTAGAAAAAGGCAGGTAAGGGGGAGGAAAGACACATGATAGAGGGGTATTACTGTTTGCAAGGTGGGGAGAAAGTGGATAAGGGCAAAAACTTCTCATATTATTAGAGAATTCAGCACCGTGCAATGACGCTTAATTCAGGACAATTTTTTTAAAAAATACTTCTTCACACAGCATATAGTTAAAATGATGGAATTAACAGCAATGGCCATCTATTAGGATAGATTTAATAGGGCATTAGACAAAATAATGGGGGATGTCTATGCTCTGCCTCCCGCTTTGAGAGGCAGCATGTCTCTGTCTATACCACTTGCTGGGAATTGTAAGTGAGGAGAGCATTGTTGCATGTAGGTCCTGCTTATGGACCACTGTGAAAAGACTAGATGGGTGGACTAGGTGGGCCTTTGGCCTGACACAGCATGGCTCTTCTTATGTTCTTACTTGAATATAGTTCTGTATACGTTTCTCCAAAAAGGAGTCGAAGTATCACCCAAAGGCTAGACTAGCAAGGGTAGTGTTTAATGTTGCTAACTTTATTCTTGGCTCATTTGTAGCGGACATAGGAGCTGTGTCCAGAACATCTAGAACTAAAGAAAAACTGTCCAAACTCCCTTGTTGTCTTGGCTGTTTCCAGTATTGCTACATTTAAAGTATTGAAATGCTGATTTTTGCTCATGATTTTGTAACGCAACACTGCATCGCCCACAAGAGGGAGGGATTGGCAGGCTTGGAGTTAGGACAAAAAGTGAAGAAGTCAAAATTACATTCAGAACAAATTCTATGTCACCACCAGCACCCCGTACCAAAGCAGCACAATTAAGCATTGCTTTAAACAACCAGAATGAAGATAATTGAGAGTGGGCTGAAACCCAGATTAGAGAGAGAAAGAGAGAGAGAGATTTTGTTGTTTGGATAGGTCACTTCCTGTTTTGCTCCAAGAAGCTGCTTTTTAAATGCCCCCGGAGTTGGAAATGAGAACTGCCTCTAGGAATCAGTGGAGAAATATAAGAAATTGAAGCTGCTTAAATTAGGGAACTGTTTGCCCACCTTTGAAAAGAAAAGCCCAATGAGGAGTGAGTATGCTCAGTGAGCATAGAATACACACAGGCACAGAGGAGGGGAGACACAATGCAACTTCTGGAGTCCTACCCCATTCATAATGAATACTGGTCAATTTGGAGAGAAAAAATCCTTAACATTTAAAATTGCAATGCTTTTCATGTCAACAGGACATACCATTATTCCCCACTCCTCCTTCTTAAAATCAGAACTATCCAGATATGCATCACGAGTGGACTAATATAGTCTGGTTTAAATGCAATTTGCTAATATGTATTGTGGGATGTGGGTTTCTGTATTTTTTACCTACCTGCCTTCCAGCCTCACTTCTTATTTTCATGGCCTGAAATTTTTCTGCCTTGCATTTCTGAATTCCCCACCCTTTCTTCCTTCAAAATTGGTAAAGTTGGAAAAAAAAAAGTCCACCCCATGTTGTGTTACATCTTTCTGATTCCCTTCTGTCGGCTTGGGGCTGATAGCATAGGCATTAATTGTCTGCTTTAATTATTGCTGTTTTTACAGTAGATGCATGCTGCTTTCATGTAAACTGTAAATACTGCAACACTTGGAACATCCAGATTCTTCAGATGCAGCTGGGCATGTTAGTTATAGTCCTGCAGCAACTTTTAATTGAAGTCCAGCAGCTCTTTCAGGGAGCTGGCTAAGAAGAATGTTTGTGCGTTTGATTGATGGATGTTGGGAATTAATTTCTGCCAGTGAATATGTCTGAAAGCATGTATTCACGCACCATGCTGTGGACATTTGAAAATCTGCACCTTTGGCCAAAATTAATTTACCGCATAGTATTCAAAAACATCGTTTACTGGATAATAGAACTGAGAGGTTTTAGAGGAAATGAATGTGTTATTGTTGTGACAGAAATGAGAGAAGAGACAACACCTTCCAACAGAGACATAATAGAGACAATGTTAAATAAAGACAAATCTGTCTAACAAGATGGATTTGGGAAGAAATGGTAACAAAATTGCAACAATATGGGAAGTACATTTGCTGATAAGCATTGTTGCAAGTGACTCTGTGCTGGTAAGGGAATTATTCCCCTAATGTTAAGGTAAACATTACCTTTCTGAGTGAGCGGATATTCAGAATTGTCTTGGAAGAGAAGTGAATTCACTTGCATCCCCCCCAATGTTTCAAACAAAGATTTTATTGCTTCAGTAAGAAAGGAGACCTTGCCACCACTCAAGCTTGACTACTTATGGAGAGGAAGGTTTAAGCTTGCCAGCTCTGCAAGAAATTCTTCCTAGAAAATAAATGGAAAAATGCAAGCAATATTTAAAAGAAGTGGTCATGAGAGGATTGGATTTGTCACAAACATGTCATCAGAGGTGTTGGTAGTAAACTGGTTAGCTGGTTAGTGCCTGACATGCTAAGCCAAACCTTTGTACTGAGACCATGAGGAAGGGCTGGCTTCCAAAGAGGAGCTCACAGATTCGTGGATCTTTCCTGGTCCTTTTTGCTGCCACGCTAAGCCAAGGCCCAAGGGACAGGAAACTGGGTTTGGCCAGGGGATCATGTTCGAAATTTCCTCACCTCCAGTGGGACAACTTTGACAGGTGTTGACAAGAGGTGATTGGTGGTAACCACAGCCTCCTTTGAACTTAGACAGGCGCCAATCACCTGAGTGGAGCTGGGAGCACCTTTAATGATGCTCGCTATGGAGAGAAAATATGCCTTCATCTTTAAATGAGGAAGCAGTTTGCAATTAAAGCTCTTCTTCCAGCACCAGCTTCCAAACCACTTCCTTCGAAGAGGGGAAATTATCTGTTTTTAAAACAAAGCATTTACTCCTCTGCAGAGGAAGCAGTTTGGAACTCCCTAGTGCAGCTGATCAGTGCTGGCAGGGGGTCCCACTTGCAAAAGGAATGACCAGGAGCTCCATTTTAAGCTCCCATTTCCCCCTTTCTTCCTGTGTTTATTTTTGCCGCACTGCTGATATCACATATGCCGTCAGGTGTGGGGCAGTTTTGTGTGGTGTGTGGGAAATGGCCTTATGAGACAAATTGGGACTCATAAGCTTTGCATGTTTTCTGAACTGGAATTCATGGTCAAGCTCTCTCCTTGCTAATTGCAGCTGTAGCCAAGCAACCTTGTTCTGCAAAGAAGCATGTTCATTTTTCTCCTTGGTCAGCAGGAATAGTTTTGTGGGAAGACAGAAAGACAATCTTCAATAGCAGTACCTTTTGCCTTCCGCTGCAACAGAATGCATTACTGAACAAGGAAATGGTTAAAGAATGAATGGAAATGTTATCTACCTGATAGGAAACCAGGCTTACACCAAGGTTTCTTAACAATCCTAACATTTGCTGACTGCAACAGATAACTCTGCTGAAATTGTGTTACCCAAGATATTTTGTCTAGTCGGCAACATGATACCCTAAGACTTGCTGTTCTGCTGATCTTGACAATTCTGGCCTATAGAGGAAGACGCTTACTACTTTATACATGTGGATTAGATCTTGTGACATGCAAAATGAATAAAATGTTATATGCAGCGTGATGCTTAAATTAAAGCATCTCAAATGTTACAGTAGATTCAGTAAAAATATACACATAGCATCCATGGGATGACAGACCTATGGACAAGAAGATGGCTTAAATCCCAGTTTGCTTTCACTACACCCTATTGCCTAAAAACAAAAACAAAAAACTAGCCGATATCAGTCTTGTGAATGCACAACCAGAGCCTTGCATGAACTTTCAGAATCTGAAGGCATCAGCACTGTGTGTGTGTGTGTTTTCTCCTCGCTGGTGGTATTTGCATAAATAAGGATTTCAGAAATGCATCTGCAAGACAGCTTTATTGACTCAAATCCCTTGGTGGGAGCCGTGCTACTTACTAGCATGGATGCATAAGGCAAATAGGATTTTGCTGATTATTGTTGCTACCTGCAATAAATTGTCATCCACAATTGATGTGGGAATTTAAAATTCCAGTTTATCCTGCACTTTTCTCAAAGCTCTTAGGAACCCATTGTCTTTGTGAGGGATGGGAAGAAATGTAGTTCTGGCTAACTGGCTGTTGTTTCAGGGTGAAGGATTTTGCATAACTTAGTGTGGGGGTGGTTTTTTTTTTGGTTTTTTTAAAAGATGTGCAAACTAATTTTGAAATCACAATCATTTTAGGGCACTCGTGCAGTCTATAAATAAGAAGATAGTCATGGGAACTGAATCATTCAGAACTTATGCCATGCTTTGTTAAAATAACTAGCATGCTTTAGAATCAAGCTTGAAGAAGGGCTGTTAATATTGTGCATACCAATGGCCAGCCTTTATTGGAAGTGTGAGATCCCAAAGTAAGAGCTTTTTATGTTGGTAGGTAAGTTATTACTTGGTAGGTAAGATATTTTATGTTGGTAGGTAAGACTATTAGGATAGCTCAGTTGGTAGAGCATGCGACTCATAATCTCAGGGTTATGCGTTCGAGCCCCACGTTTTAAGGGACGCAGGTGGCACTGTGGGTTAAACCACAGAGCCTAGGACTTGCCGATCAGAAGGTCGGCGGTTCGAATCCCCGCGACGGGGTGAGCTCCCATTGCTCTGTCCCTGCTCCTGCCAACCTAGCAGTTCGAAAGCACGTCAAAGTGCAAGTAGATAAATAGGTACCGCTCCGGCGGGAAGGTAAACGGCGTTTCCGTGCGCTGCTCTGCTTCGGCTTAGTTATGCTGGCCACATGACCCAGAAGCTGTACGCCGGCTCCCTCGGCCTATAAAGCGAGATGAGCGCTGCAACCCCAGAGTCGGCCACGACTGGACCTAATGGCCAGGGGTCCCTTTACCTTTTACCTTTTTAGGTAAGATACTCCAGGATGAAAGCATTGTTCAGTATCCAACAGGGATAGGCAGAGAGTAGATCAGAACCTACTGGCAAATCACTGGGTGACTTATACATAGTAGATCAGCAAGGATTTTCTGTCTCCCTGTTGTTTAACAATAGCAGCAACAAAATTACCACCCCTCCTCAATTATATGGCTGAAATGAAGAAAGCATTGCATGACCAGTGGGGGATTTTTGTGTGGATGTGAACACAATCAGTTCTGATACTCAAAACGAAAGCATGTGCTTGTAATTCTTTTAATTATTTTGTGCCAGGCTCTGGATAATTAATCTTGGGTTTCTAACCTTCCCGTGCGATTCTAACCTGGAAGAATCAAACTTGGTTCGACCAAGAATGCAAACAGTGCAGAAGTAGGCTTAGATTTCTTCAGTCTGATATGAAATCAGACAGCACCCAGAGCAAAATCAGGGAGTTAGCCCAATTCCGTTCATACTACAAGAAGCTGCTCCATCATAAGAAATTGCTCTTTGCGAAAGAACGCTGGACGGCACTGTCAGTGGCCATTAAAACCCGTGACGACAAGAAATTCTGGAATTTAATTAATGCAGGTTTAAGACCCCCCTCATTCATCGCTAATAACATCACAGCAGCCAGTTGGCACTCTCACTTTGCTCAGCTGTATTCCGCCCCAGATCCCGAAGTAAATGTTGTCTCCACTCTTCCAGCATCTGCCTTGCCCACCTGGGAGCCAGTCTCCCCAGAGAGATGTATACAACTAATCAGTACGCTTTCAGGGATAAATCCCGGGGAGGATCTGATACCACCTGAGGTATTCTTGTCGAACCAGACATGGTGGGCCCCTATTTTAGCATCTCTCTTTACCACTATTAATGCTACTCTTAAGATTCCACCTAATTGGAAACAGAGCATAGTCATCCCAATACATACACAGGGGGATCCACAAGATCCGCGTAACTATCGACCTATCAGCCTGCTGGACATATCATACAAGGTCTACTCTAGATTCTTGCTAGAGAAATTAATCGAGTGGGCAGAAGAAACAAAGCTATTTCACCCGGAACAGGCTGGCTTCCGTAAAGGTCACAGCACATCTGGCCAATGTCTTGTTCTATTTACCCTGATTGATAAATATCTAAACAGGTTCAACTGCAAACTACACGCGGCTTTTGTGGACCTGACCTCCGCTTTTGACTCCATCCCCAGAGATAGGCTATGGCAGAAGCTTAGTTACACTAACATAGATAAGAGACTCCTCCACCTTCTTATGGAAATTCATAATGACATATCGGCCAGAGTAAAATTCGGCCCTCTGGGAGCTCTATCTGATCCTTTCCCTCTGAATAAAGGGGTCAAACAGGGCTGCCTCTTGGCCCCTTTTCTATTCAATTTCTACATCAATGACATCGTTACAACCATGAAGGCCCTAAATCAATCTGTCCCCTCTTTACAACAGCTCAAGATCCCCATATTACTCTATGCGGACGACATGGTGATACTGTCTTTAACCAAGCAGGGCTTAAACAACATGCTCAGAGGGCTCATGACATATTGTGATACCAACTCCCTCAAAATCAATTTCGCCAAAACCAAAATTCTTACTTTTGGCACGAAAACTCGGAAGCCTTTCTGGAATTTTGAGGGCCACTCTATTGAATATTGTTCAGCATTCAAGTATTTGGGTATCACTTTTCAGCATGGGCTTAGCTGGTCAGCTCACCTAAATATGACCATCCTGGCTGCCCGTAGAACCATCAAAGCCTTGGAGAAATTCTTCTATGCAAAAGGCGGCCAGTTGGTTCCACCAATCAGAAAAGCATTTATCAGCAAAGTCCTCCCGATGTTACTGTATGGGGTTGAAATCTGGGGGTGGAATTTAAAAACACTACAATCGCTGGAGATTCTGCAAAACTCTTTTGCACGAAAGATACTGGGCCTCCCCAAGGGCTCAGTTGCTGCACAGTTAAGAACAGAACTGGGCCTCCCTCCATTGTTGCAAGAGCCCACATTAGAATCATTAGTTTTTACTGTAAATTATTCAATGCCCCAGGTTCCCTACTAGCTAGGCAAGCCTTTTTAACTTGTTCTCATACCAACAAATGGTCCAAGGCCATGGAGACTATTACTGCACGCTACTCCCTCCCAGATCTCGACACGCTGTCATCTTGGGACCAACATAAAATCCGGGCCTGGATTCTTACAAGAGACGAGGCCATGGACCGGGCACAGTCCATTACAGCTCGCCTCTCCATGTGGCTCCCTAAAGTGAAAGTGGTAAGATCACTTGCCAACTACTTGATAGACCTGACGGAGCCCAATTTGAGAAGAGCGTTTACTATGGCCCGTTTCCATTCTATACCCACGGCCTTCCTGCAGGGATTTACTCTAAGACCCCTATTACTCAGCGTTTATGTCCATGCACAATGAATGAAGTAGAGGACTTCATACATTTCTTTTTCTACTGCCCTATTTATGAGCCAATAAGACCTAAGCTCCTCCTCTTGATCCCGTCCACCATTACATCTAAGGAAGACTGTTTGAAATCGCTTCTTGTGGACGCAAATCCCCAAATTTCACGTGGGGTGGCAATCTTTATAGTGCAGGCTCTGAAACTCAGGGCTACTCTGACTGGGTAGTGTGTCCTAGACCTGGACCTGTTTTAATTCTTTTTATTACTTTTTCAACCCAATGTGCCGAGCCTATTTTGGGGCCATTTTATGTTTTATATACATCCGCATTTTGGATTCTTGGCGCTGGCAACTAAATCTTTACATTATTGTCTTAGGGTAATTTAAATGTCATTACGCCAGTAATATTGCTTTGAATTTTGTTTGGTTGCTTGTCTCTAGTATTTTTGTCTTATTTTGCTATGGCTGTATGCTAATGCAATAAAGGTTTTGATGTTTTGATACTTGGGTTTCTAGTAAAACACACAATGGACCCCACAGGCCTGAATCTGCCCACTTCTGGTGTAGAATGAACCAAGCAGGGAAAAGCCTTGTTATACACAAACCGTGTAATAGATAGCTATAAAGTGGGCTTGATAACCATTGTGGCCCGTCTCTGGTTTTTTAGGTTGTTTCTGGAAATGATTCCTTAACGTTAGAGAAGTGTGATCAAATGCCTATTCCCTTTTGAGCATTCATCCTCTTTAATTAGACGATTCACTGAAGTGGCTCCATTCCTCTGACTTCTCAAAGCACCACTGCAATTCTTTTAAAGTTTGCCTCCATGTGTGTCTGATTTAAAGCCAATAGTTTCTTCCATTAGGGGGCCTCATGGGACATACCCATGAACTCCCAGTAGTCAAGACAGATTCAATTAAGTAGGACAGAGTGCTTGCTCATGTGTAACTGCCTTGCTGCTGGGAGCAGTCTAAACATGCCTTTTTATTAATTTGGATAAAACCATAATCTCTACTTTCTCAAAATGTGTGTGTGTGTATTTAAATCAAATAACCTCTGTGCTCTTTGCTTCATACAGAAACCAGTCCTTAAACTGGTTTTGCCACATAAAGGGTGTCTGGCTGTGACTTTCGAAACAATTCTCATGTGAGACCCTTAATTCAAAATAGTTATCAGATTAGTGAGCACTTTTAGGAACCATAATGTATAGGTGAAGCATACTTTCTCTCTCTAAATGGTGGTATTTCATTAACTGACCGCCAGCTGTAAGGCACAATTCGATATTAAAGCATTTAAAAAGTAGCTTGGTAATTTATCAATAAGCATTGTACAAAATGGATGACAATTAGGTGTATAAACTGTGCCAAGTAGATTCCCCTCTTTGCTTTTAATTCAAAGCTTATGAAAAGCTTTTGAAATATACAGGTAGATAACCAATGCTTTAACAGTAATACTCAGAGGAGATCATTTTATTAAACCTATACACAGTTTCCTTCCTGTCAAACTGTAGAATGTAGATGGCAGAATCAATAATGTGTTGCCCACTTGGGATTTGCTAATACACAAATTAGTGTGCGGAGCTCCTGTGCTTGATAAGCACAAAAGCCTGTTTTCTTTCAGCCTTTTTATTGCTGTGCAAATGAAAAGAATTATGAGCAGGAACAATCCCAATAAATTTAAAACGTAATATTTCAGAAACAAAAGGGCTTACAAAGAAATATTTCCTCAAAGGAACTGCTCTGTCCATCATGTGTGGACTTCAGTTTAATAATGGTAGGATGTGCAAGGATAAAGGAATGGCAACATGCTTATTTTGTGCTGAGCTCCAGTTAAATCTAATTTTAAGGGTTGTGTTCAGTAACATGTATACACATGTATAGTCAAATATGACAAAGCTGGGCATTTGAAAACCCCCAAAATAATGCATATTGTCAAACGGTAATTAAAAAAGCTTTAAAATATGTACAGCTAAGTGATTTGACTCCCCTGATTATCAGTTGCAAGCATGCTTACTTTTGTAATCAATGCATTATGACTCAGGCTATCTTTAGTGAAATTTATTACCTCATTTTTTATTTTAGCCTACTTAAATATTCAGTAGCCAGTCCCACAGAAAATTACGATCTCTGCAGAAAAGAATCATGGTGTCAGAGGTCGGAGCTCATCTCCTTCATGTGTTTTTAATGTTCTTGGAAGGGCAAAAAAGCACACAATTTGCATTTAAAGCACTGCTCTCGGATG